ATAATATTATTTCAGCTATAAGTTAAGGTTAAAGATTATTTCTGTTTTTCTTTCTGCCCTCTAGCAAAGTAAGATAAATTAAACTTGGTGTTAGCATCTATATCCTGCTAAACTTCAGGCAAAATCCCACTACACAACACATTTACCTTATGTTAGAATACGGTACTGTGATATAGTTTATTTAATATGTGGTGAATGATGCTTTAATTAGATCCGATAGAAATGAAAATAGTAAGCCATTAGTAAACAGTACAGCAACATTACAAGCAGTTTCTATGCTGAAGAAAATTAGTTCTGTGAGAAATGACTTACATACCGGAGCACCGAGTTTTAAAACTATTAAGTAATAATTTATTTATAGCGTTAGTCATTTCTTCACATAACTTAACTTTTAAGTGTTATACCTGTAATGTTCAACTGGGAAAAATTAAAAAAATCAAAATCTAGGTGAAGTACTTGGTAAGGTATGTAAACTATAGTATCTATTGTAAACCCAGGAGGTCAATAAAAACATTTTTTTCATTGATTTCAAAAATAACAATAACAATACAATTTGTGTACATACCCTTCCAAGTTAATATACCCCTCTCTCCTCCTTAAAAAAAAAGCAGTGATTAAAGAGAGATGATCACCCCAGCGGCAATGACTAAATCTGGGTTCCATTCATAAATCACATGAATATCTTGGTATATATTGAGTGGTGTCTTCTATAAGAATAGCTAAAGAAGCCAGTTATACATGTATTTATGAAAAGTTTTGTAATCAAGAACCATTATTTTTTGAGTTAGATGGCATTCTACATGTCTGCATCAAACTGAAATATACAGCTTTACACAACATCTTCATCTCAAATTCTCTCACTATATAACACTTACTGAAACTTGGCTGTCCCCTTTTGATATTGCTACTCCTGCTTCTTTATGTTTCAGTGGTTTACAATTCTTCTACACTGCTACACACAACTTCAAAGGGGGTGGTGTAGGCATCTTTCTCTCACCCCAATTACCTTCCACCAATCTTCCATGCCCCTGTTTTATATTTCCCTTCATTTGTAGTGCACACTGTCTGCCTTTTAAAACCCACTCTTTTAAGAACTGCATCATGTACCCCCCTCCCTCCTCTCCTCTAGGACTCCTTCCTTCATACTTGGGGACCTTAATATCCCAATGAAAAACCCTAACTGCGCTAATCCTCTTAACTTCTCTCTGCAACCTCCTCCTTTGGCATCATGGAACGGTCTACCTCAGCAACTCATACAGCAGGAAACACTCTTGATCTCATCTTCACCAATCTCTGCACTTCCTCAAATCTCTCCAATGTTCCATTTTCTCTATCTAACCACCATCTGCTGAACTTTGACATCAGCATACCTCGTTACCAAATTTTGCCACCCTTGGTACATCAGTCTTGCAGAAACCTCCACTGTCTAGACCTATAGCGACTCTCCACCAATCTACAAACTCTGTTTTTACCTATCTCAAATCTCACCTGCCCTAGCTCTGCAACCTCCCTGTAAAACTCCACCCTCTCATCTCACCTAGATATCACGGCACCTCCTACATTTAGCCTAGCAAGCACCCCCAATTACAACCTTGGCACACCAAGCTGACCAATTACCTCCACAAATGCTCCATAACTGCTGAATGATGCTAGATAAAGTTTAATACTGCATCTGACTTCCTCCACTATAAATTTATGCTACACTCCTTGTGTCAGGATCATATCCTGACAATTCAAAACATGTTTCATTTCTTCTGTTTTATTTCATACATCACCAGTTTCTCATCACTAGTGTCCTCCCTAGCCACTAGTCACCTCAGTCTCTCTCACCTGCATGATGTTCCAAATCTGCTATAAAAGGCCACACCTGACAAAGCCAAGTTGCCTTTACATTGAGAGAAGTTGTGTTCTGCACCTGGCTCTTACTGATACTTGTTTTATAGTCTGATATTGACAAGACATCTGTTCCTGACTCAAACTGATTCTTGATAACCTGCTTAACTCTGATTTCCTTTGATCCATCTACATTCATTCAAACATCCTGCTTTAATTCAAACTGGACCTTGTTTTCTATTATGCCTTATTTGCTTTGAATCTAACCTGCCTGGACTTTACTAACCATCATATTAATTGCAACTCTCCTGGAAAACCCTGAACCACATATCTAGTAATTTCAGTACAAATCCTCCAAACTAAAGGGACTGTTCTCCTTAACTTAGAACCAACCTGAATTCCATTATCCTTTATTATGCTGTTTATTAATGTCTGATATTATGTTTACTTGTTACCTATTATTTCATTGACAGGTATCTCTTTCTCTAAACCTGCTTTGGGGCATATTGCCTAAAGTTCTATTTCGTCTTCTACTACTCCTTCATACTTACCTGTAATTCTGTTTCTAGGTTCTGTTTTCTCCATTTATCTTTATTATTCCTTTTTTTCTTTTCATCCTGTTATTCTTTTTGTTACCTTTGTCTAAACCATGTCTAATAACTCAAATAAACTACCTGAAGTCAACCGTGGCATAAGTCTCCTCTCTGACCTACTCAGAATCACGACAGTTTAGCTCTTTCCTATGCAAAAGAAACTTCTCCCACAAACCAAAACACACTTTTAACTCTTTTCTTCGCCCTGTTGCTGCTCCTCCTCCTACTAACTTGACCGCTACAAACTTTGCAGCTTACTTCACTGAGAAGATTACTATAATCAGGGAAGAGAGCTCTCATTGCTCTCCTTCCCCTACCAATATTCCCCCCAACACCACTCCCTCCTCTTTTCTGTGCTCATTTGAACCTTCTACAGCAGAAGAGGTTTCTCCTTTGCTCTGGTCCTTCCTCCCCACCACCTGTCTCTTCAATCCTATTCCATTGTATCTCCTTTCTTGCTCTGTCTCTCACTAAAATATTTAATCTCTCACTCTCCATCCAACTGCCACCCTACCTCACTACTACCATTTGTCTCCATGATCCTTGAGAGAATTGTGTACATGAGATTGATCGAATTCCTCAAATCCAGCTTTTTGTTTGAGCCACTTGTCACTCTGTTAAAATGGCTCTGACCAAAGTATCCAATGATTTAATCACTACAAAATTTGGTGGTCGCTAATTATCCTTGACATTTCTGCTGCTTTCGACACTGTTGATCATCAACACCTTCTTCTCATTCTTCTTAATCTCGGTCTACAAGATTCTGCTCTCTTCTGGTGCTCCTCCTACCTCTCCTAGCACTATTTCAGTGCTTCTTTCTCTGGCTCTGCCTCTTCTCTGCAACCCCTCTCTGTTGGTGTTGCCCAAGGTTCTGTCCCTGGTTCCATTCTGTTCTCAATGTAAACTGCCTCCCTTGGTAAACTCATGCTTGTTTAATAATTTTCCCAGTACTCTGTACTCCTTGACCTCATCCTATCATGTTCACTCTTGTCTTTCATATTTAAAGACTCTATTCAATCCTTCATTATGTTAAGCCTGGTCATCCTAAGAAGTGGTTATATATTTTTCTGTAGTATAGGACAATCTTAGCTATACAGTTTGAATAATTGGCCATGACATTACAGCAGGTCCAATAGACCATGCAAACTTAGCAAACACAGATTTCCCCTGTGAAGCAATGATAGAGGATTAACTCACAGAATAGATCACTTTGCATACTGTTTTAGCCAGGACTATTTGCCTTCAGCCTTCAGTCTGAAGACCAGGTTCCAGTTGTCGAGGCTACTGCTTCTAGTTAAACCCCCTTTGTAACCAGTTTCTTCTGTGCATCTTATGCATTTTACCTGTTATTCAGTTATTCAATCCTTAAACAACCTTGAAAAAACATGCACCCATGCAGCCAAGTACCAATAAGCTAACTAAGAATTTTATGCCTTAGCCTATGTCTAGAGGACCGGCTTTGGCTATGATGTTGGGTTCCTCTTTCATGTCTCTCTGATTTGGGGTTCAGTTGTTTGTCAGACTATGACTCTCATAGACTTCAGTTCTATCTCTCTACCACTCAGTAAGAGAACAAATTGCATGGCTATAGAGTCCATAGATGTAAGATCCTTGACCACCCCTTACAATTCAGGAACAGATCCTATTCAATTGACAGTTAGCATACTGCACAAGTAAGAAATCATATTCCAGGTTATTTCCTCTCCTTCTCCTGAAGGTTTGCTACACAGTGTAAAAATTGCCATCACTGTAAAATGGATGGGGATTTAAGGAACAAATTGGGCATCTATTTGTCCATCAATTATGGTTGGCTTGATGATCCCATAACTCGCATTTCTTTCTACCCTCTACTTCATTACCTAAGAGTGGATGAAGGGTTAGAGGGCATTCTTCATGCCCTTAGCTTGTTATGTTATTGGGAAGAGCTTTTCATTTGGTGTTTACATGCTTAAGTGTCCTCTCCACTCACCCCGGCATCTGATGTTGTGGAAAAGGTAAAGCCATTCTACAATTGGAGTTTTTAAGTTCTTTTGAAGGTGATAAAGATAGTGTTCCTGTCATTTCTAAAATGTAAAATATGTGTAGTATCAATTGTCACTCATTTATGAATGAAGAAAGATCTTTGGAAGCTGCTTGGTAGTTTATCAATATAAAGGTGAAAAATTATTAACTGCTGTTCTGAGTTTTAGTACCTACAGGCAGTAATGCTGAACCAGGCGCCAATTGTAACTGCATCTATGCTTAAATTAATATCCTCTGTATGCTACCTTTTACTACATACATTGGGATGTGACCAGCATCTCAACCTAAATTAAAGGAACACTATATGGTCAGGAACACAAACATGTATTCCTGACCCAGTATACTAAAAACACTCTCTAGCTCCCTCTAAATATAGTACACTCAGTGGCGTACTTACCACGGTCGCAGCCACAACCCCTGCGATCATGGGCTACCTAGATGCTGCCCTATCCGTGTTCCCCCTGTCATAGGGTGGCCTAAGAGGTGGCCCGCTGGCCACCTAATGGAACCCCCCGGTGGGCGGCACAGTTCCTGTCAGACGCGGCGAAGGAGCTGTGTTCTCTCTGCTCTGCTCCCTTGCATCAGCTCCCAGCATCAGTAGACAGCCCGCAAGGGAGCAGAGCAGAGAGAACACAACTCCCTCACCTCGTCTGACAGGAACTCTGCCGCCCGCCGCATGGAAGCCCCACTGAAGGCACACTGAAGCCCAGTGCCCGCCGCACTGGACTCCAGTGACAGATCCACGCCAGCTATCCAGGTAGGGAGGCTGGTGGACATTTAATATTAATAATTTGTTTGTGTCTGTAAATGAATGTGTGTTTCTGAATGTGTCTGTAAGTATATGTGTGTGTCTGAATGTGTGTGTATGAGTGTATGTGTGTGTGTCAGAGTATGTCTCAGTGTGTGTATGTGTGTGTCTGTGAGTGTGTGTGTGTCTGAATGTGTGTTTCTGTAAGTGTGTGTGTGTGTGTAAGTGTATGTCTGAGTGTGTGTGTCTGAGTGTATGTAAGTGTATGTATGTCTCAGTATGTGTATGTGTGTGTCTGTGAGTGTGTGTGTGTGTCTGAGTGTGTGTGTGTGTGTGTCTGTGAGTGTGAGTCTGTGAGTGTACGTGTGTATATGTCTGAATGTGTGTGAGTGTATGTGTGTGTGTCTCGAAGAGGCGCGCGCATTCGAACAGTCCGTAGGAAATCATTTCTCAATGCTTTCCTATGGACGTCAGCATCTTCTCACTGTGATTTTCACAGTGAGAAGCACGGAAGCACAGTAAGACAGCTACTAGAGGCTGGATTAACCCTAGTGTAAATGCTATGTTTACAGCTGCAGGGTTAACACTAGATGGACCTGGCACTCAGACCACTTCATTGAGCTGAAGTGGTCTGGGTGCCCATAGTGTTCCTTTAACCTTTACCATTTCAGCTGGAAGGCTATTCCATGCATCCACTACCCTCTCAGTAAAGTAATACTTCCTTATATTATTTTTAAACATTTGCCCCTCTAATTTAAGACTATGTCCTCTTGTTGTGGTAGTTTTTCTTCTGTGATTCTATGATTGAATCAATGCATCTCTACGAGGAAAGTTCAGTGTTCCTATGGAGAAGGTGGAGAGACTGAATGCCAGTGTTGCACACTGTGCAGCAATGCCCCAGGAAGAATATCTAGCAGCTATATGAAGAGTGGCCACTGGAGGAGTCCCTAGGCTGTAATGTAAACACTTCCTTTCTTTCTGAAAAAACAGTGTTTACTGCAAAAAGCCTGAAGGGAGTGATTCTACTCACCAGAAAAAATACAATGAGCTGTAGTTGTTCTGGTGACTATAGTGTCCCTTTAACTCTTGCTTTTCAGAGACAAAGAGAGAAAAAGAAAGAGGTAACACTTCTTAGGTGATGACAGGTACTTATTCTTACAGTTTTTACGAGCAGACACCCAGTTTAGGGAAATAACCCAGCAACAGAAGGAGTTCTGGCACTGCATCGGTTAAATGGCTCCAGTAGCTTTAGCCCCTTCTCTTCAGATTCTGTTTATATCTGATAGTCTTTTTCAATACAATGCAAAGTAAAACAGAAGAAAAGCACAAACATAGCCCCTTACATTTCCCTCTATTCAGATAAAGAAACTATGTTTACTATATGAGATCATTTACTTTCATACGTCAATATATCTGCACTGGCTTGACGAAAACTTCAAATTGTACACATTTATAAAATGTTATTGTGTATAGAATTTTTTTTAGATATACTTAATCAGCAGTCTCTATACCATTTTTTTTTTTTTTTAATTTTCCATGCTAGCTATGCAATTCATGTTTCAAGCATATGCTGTATTTTTGAATGGGACTCCGTAGTGAAAGTGTTGATCTGAAACCTATTAAAAAGTGCAACACAACTTTCTGCACATACTGAATGTGAGTAGTCCTACTGCAATAAGATCACCCTTTAACTAATTTATTTTAATTAGCTGTGTCTTATTTATCATTAAATATGTCAAGCCATGTTTAATTGCATCGCTCTTAGTGGAAGTATACCACTAGATTATGCAGCATATTATATTCTGAATGAGAGAAAATTGAGATATATCCACAAGAAGGTCCACATGGGGCTCATCATGTGACTCATATTATCATCTTAACACAATACTTTCTCTATTAAAATCCGAATATGTATTTATTTGCGTTGTCTTAAAAATAAGTTTTCTGTCATTTCATTTTGCCTCTCTCTTTACACAATAGTTCTGTGCCCGAGGGAAAAGGAAATGCAATTGGAAAATATAAATAACAAATCAAAAATTAGAATTGATTGGATAAATAATTTCCCTTAGTCTGTTTCTTAATAAGTGATCGATCCAGTAATCAATATTCATTATTTCCTAGGCTATACCAAACTGTTTATTGAACAAATAAATAGCTGAAACTACAATGACATGGAATAAAAAAAAAAAAGGAACCAATTTCTTTAATAACTCGGGCTGAACAGATCACCGTTTTTTACCTGGTTGTTCCACATGAGCAGACTTGTCATTGAATCCATTTGGGTGATAGAGAAGCAGGGAATCTCGGTAATAGAATGTAATATGCTATAAATGATTTTCAGTAGCAACACATGCTCTATTCGTTCGACATTGTATGTTTATATACCTCATTTGTTACTCTGGATTTTACATGCCTACTTGCATATAAATGAATATTATTATAAAGCATTAGCAATTCATTTTTTTGGTTTAGTTTTTGTTTAATGATTCCCTTCTCTACACATCTAGTATGAGGGCCAAATTACCAGTAGCCTACAGATGCGTGTCAAGTACTCGAGCCTGTCTTATCAATTATAAAGTGTTTTTTTCTTCTTCTATTTTTATCATTATTGCTGCGATAGGTGACTGAAACATGCATTTAAAAAAAAAAAAAAAGCACTCCCCCACCCTCTACACTCATTTTGTGCACTAAGGCACTAAAATGTTTACAACCTATCATTATTATTGAAATGTAAACAGTAAGTGAAATTCCACTTATCTTGGAGGAGAGAAGGGGCCAGACTTTGGTTGCCATTGTTTTGTAAAATCACTCGAAAAGAGTATAACACAAACTGCCGGGACTGCATCTCAGCAACTCAAAGTACAATAAGTTGCATGGTACGTTAAGTGGTTATGGTACTTAGAGTGTATTTTTAAAAACCACCTCAATTCCTTATAGCTGCTACTCAACAAAGGGTCTGAGACATTTCTAAAACTATATTTCCCATGATGCTTAGCCAACTAGCTGAGCATCCTAAGGAGTGTAATTCACAAACATATGTTACTTTCATTTTCTATTGTTTTATTTCCGCTTCCAGCAACAGGATCTCAGTACAATAGTCTAAAGGAATCTTCTACACTTCATGTGATGATCCGAGCCCCTTCTTCAGAGTGAGAAACCACAGCTGATATTCAGCTGACACATATAAGAAAGCATTCCGTAGGTATATCAAAGCTGGTAACCCTGCTGCACTGAGATCAGGGACAGATTAAGAACCAATTGGGCCTGGTGCTGACAATTATGGTGGGCCTAATGGCATAATTGTATGGATTGCACCATGAATCTGGTGGAGGTGATCCTTGCAACTAAAGAAAACACACAAATTATACTAATATCTTGCATTCATTTCTCAAGCCAATCCATAGCGAAGGTCTAGGGTGGGTAAAAGGGTAGGACACAACTCAAATACATAACTGGAACTTCAAAAAGAGGTGGACATAACCAGAAGAATTGGAAGGTCAGCCTAGCATGAATGCATGTTAGGTTGCCAGCCAATCATGTAGACTGGCCAACTGAGGGTGTGATATGCAGACAGTGCCCTGATCTTGGCACAAATGCTAATGATACGCTTGCTCTATGATTTCTTGGGACATTCCCCTAGCACTCACTTGTCCACTTATCTTCTTAACTAATTTCATTGTTAACCAATCCATACAATGTTTGTTCTACTAGATCCCTTTTAAGTTTCCATATTTAGTCACATCTGCACAATGCAAGAAATAATGTTTTGTTTTTTTAAGCAGGGGGCTTATTCAATGAGCTTAGGCCTGGAGCGTCAGCTCCATCAGTCCCTATGTTAATCTGACCCTCAGAAGGATAGTCAATAAACTCTTTAGAACTAGAAGCAGTGACTGCTTTAGGGGTTCTGATCCACACTGACGAGAAATAGAGCAGGTGCAAGGATTTTTGTCTACACAGACGAAGATGCATTTTGCCGCCCCAAAAATTTGTCTACACCTATGCGTCCATTAGTCGCCCTTTTGCCTATTTTTAACTATCCTTTGCCCCTTTTGTGCATCTTACCATAATTTTGTGCATCTTGCCGTCTTTTGGTTTCTCTTTTTTCTTTTTGCATATTGCATTCCTTGTTTCTAATTTTTTTCATGCTATTGAGTCTTTATCCCACCTTCAGGTCCAGGCAGAGGAGCTCAGACAACGCACGTCTGGTCCGCTCGGCTGACAGGCTCCACCCCCCAGATTTGTGGTTTGTATGATTTTCTATGGAGTGCTTGCACTAAAGCCAGAACCTGTTATTACATGTTGTTACCAACATATGCCAGTTACTGAATAGCATTCTTGGTGTAACTTTGTGGTGACATTAATTATACAGGTCCTTTAAGAAATATATGGAACTGCACTCACTCCCATTAAGCAGAGCCAGGGTGCTTATTGTACCGGAACCAAACACCAGATTCCGATAACTGATTAAACAAAAATAACGGGGGTCCAGGCACTCCTTGGTTCAATACAGGCACTTTTATCAAGCTTGACAAAGACCTTACGGTCGAAACGTTGCTGTAGTTCAATAAAAGTGCCGGTATTGAACCAAGGAGTGCCTGGACCCCCTTTATTTTTGTTTCATCAATTATACAGGTGTCCTGATCAAAAGAATCGAGTAAATTATGAAGACATGGGATAATAATAGACATGGGATAATTCTGGAAGAAGTAAGAGAGTGTAGGACTACTAGATGGAGAAGGAAAAGGTATAAATGTCTGTTAGGGGCGATAGGAGTAAAAATGGATTTCAATGAGGGAAAAATATTAGATATGGAAGAGGGGATGAAAGCCTAAAAAACATGTATGAAGGAATTGAGGGGATAAAATAAATTGCCAGGACAGGAACAGCAGC